TGTATTTCATAAAAGTACCAATCTGTGATGGATGAGAAGTTGAAAACAAAACAAACCAAAGAAAACAACAACAACAACCTGACTAAAAAAATAAGCAAAAGACTTGCATAGACATTTCTCTAAAGAAGATAGAGTAGTTTCCCCTTATGAGCTGTTTCGTTTTTCACAGTTTTAGTTACTCATAGTTGACCATGTGATAAATGCTTAGTTAAAATAGAAAAGGCATTATATTTGTGGATGGGAGATATGAACATAAACGTGTTTTGATTGAGAGTAATCATTTTCAATACCATCTGAGGTTTCAAGCATCTACTAGGGATCTTGGAACATAGCCCCTGTAGATGAGAGGGGACTGCTGTATGCAAATGGCTTAGGAACACATGAACAGATGCCAACATTTCTAATCATTGGGGACATGCAGATCAAATCCACAATAAGATACCACCTCAGATCCATTAAAATGGCTATAATCAAGAAACTCCAGAAAATAGCAAGTGTTGGTAAAGATGTGAAGAAGCTAAAGACCTTGTGCATCACTCATGGGAATATAATCAGGAGCAGCCACTAAGGATAAAAGCATGATGATTCCTTAAGAATTTACAAATAGATTACCATATGGCCTAGCAATTCCACTTCTGGGCTTATACTCAAAACAACTGAAAGTAGGGACTCAAACAAATATTTGGACACTCATGTTCGTAGCAGCATTATGCACAATAGCTGAAAGGTGGGTGCAACCCAAGTGTCCACCAGTGGATGAATGGATGAACAACAATGGGAATGCAAACAACAATGGGGATACAATATTATCTGGCCTTAAAAAGGGAGGAAATTCTACCACATGGGAAAACATGGATGAACCTTGGGGACATTATGCTAAGTGAAATAAGCCAGTCAGTCCCAACAGTACAACACTGTATGATTCCATTCCTGTGAAGTACCTGGCATAGTCAAATTCGCAAAATAAGAAAGTAGAATGGTGGTGCCAGAGACAAGGGGTGGGGACAATAGGAAATTAGTGTTTATGGGGTACAGTTTCAGTTTGAGAAGATGAGAAAGTTCTGGAAATGGACAGTGTTGATGGTTGTGCAACAGTGTGAATGTTCTTAATGCCACTGCACTGTATACTTAAAAATGGGTAAGATGGTAAATTTATGTGTATCTTACCGCAAAAAAGAATACTTAAACACACACACACACACACACACACACACACACACACACATAATACAACTTAATATTCTCCTCAGATAGTTTGAGAATCACTGATCTTAAAAGGCTGAACATAGAAAAAGGCCTGAGTGAGGAGGAGTTTGGGGAGCTTCTGCCCAGGATGAAATATGACAAACAATTAGCCTTCAGGCCACCAAAGTATTATACCACCCAGCCAGGGAACCAGGAAAGTCTTAACATGTCAAACCTGTAAAACCTGCCAAGGTCTTTGTTTTTATATCCTTCTGTTTTTCTATTCAATTAGCAGTAAATGGCCCGTGTGTTGGGCTTCATGAAGAGTGAGCGAGGCAGAACCCAGGGAGTCTGTGCTGTCTTCTGCAGTGGGTCCGGGGATGAGACCCCAAGAAGTTGGGGAGGTGGTGACCGCTCTGAAGACGACCAACAGCAATTAAGTCCTTGTGGTCAGAAGGTAGGAAGAGGAGCAATGCCAGCCCAGGAGGTATTGCTTAGCATGAAAAGGAGACTGCTGTTAAATAATATGTATAACATGATCCCATTTCTATACATCAGAGAAATACATACATATTTCTATGTATATATATATATATGAAGAATTCCCAAAAGGATATAAATAAAAATGTGAACATTGATTACATCTGGGTGTTCAGATTTAGGGGAGGTTTTACTTCATCTCTTTGAAAGCTTCTGTTGTTTTCACAATAGGTGGGTAAAACTTTTATAATTGGAGGAGCAAGGAAGCAATTTTTATTTAAAAATTAGAAAACGATTGAGAAGAGATACTAAGTATCCCCAACTATAAGTATTTTTAATTTTTTTTTTGGATATTTGGGCATAAATTAGTCTATGTTCTATTATTTCTCATTCTATTTTTTTTAATTAGAGTTCTGACTAGCAGTTTACTCATTACAAAATAATAACCCTTACCTTTTTATGTGCTGGAAATGCATTTCATTGACACAGGTCAGATAAGATTAGGAAAGGCATTAGAGTAATTAAGGTCACTGGACATTGTCATTTAACAAATCCTTAAATCCAATTCTAATCTTATTCATTAATGCCACAAACAGAAGGGTTAATTGCTAAAGTATAACATTGCCTATCCATCTAGATACAAATGTTATGATGTTAAATGTTATTAATGCACAGCTGCATTGCTTTGTATCTTCAGAGAGGTGCGGATGTATTCAGTATTCTAAGAATTACAGATTTATTAGTTCTGAAGAGGTTATCCCTGGGGTAACTCATTATCACTGGGACAAGCACAGGATGTTCTGTGACAGAAGAATGTCTAAGATGAAACAACCCAATTAATCAAGACAGGGCATGCATCTGGTGACTATACAACACGAGCAGAGGCTGTCAACTCCTGAATTGTCACCACACAGCCTGTGTTTGAGGCAATGTCCCCAAGAACAGGTTGGTCACTAACATAGGGATCCTACTTCCGGGTTGCCACATAGACCTGTACTCAGTTGCTTCACTTCAGCCCTGACCCGGCTGGGAAGGACAATCCTGTTATCTTGGGATTCTTCTGCACCAGACCTTTCACCACTTTACAAAACAGACAAACTGATGTGAGACTTCACTTCTTCACAATTTTTTTTTCTAACTATGACAAAGGTGTTAAGGAGGAGTGAAAGTTCCCATGGGCAGTCTTGAAAGATCAGCCTCCAAATGTGTTATCTCAACCCCTGGGATCCTCTGCAGCCATTAAAACTGATGTTGTAAGAGGTTTTTAAAGATGTGAGAGTGTGTTCACCTCATGCTATTGTTGTGAAAAGAGCAGCTTACAAAGGAATCTTATGAATATATAATAGGAGATGAGTCCAATTTTGTAAACTAAAAAGGTGGAGAGAGTGTTCATCTATTGTAAAAGATGAGAAGAATTAAAAGACCTATGTCAACATTTGATGAAGAGAGGAAGGTCTGTTTTTTTGCTTTTGTTTTTGTTTTGTTCCTTTGTCTGCCTCAGTACTTTCTTCCATTTTCCAAATTTTTTAGAGTAGAAATATATCATTTTCTAAAAAATAAAAGACTCCCAATAAATGTTATTTTTAGGGTTACTCTCTAAACCAATGACACAGTAGCTTCTATTTTTTTATATCAAATCAATAGCAACAGATATGTTCCTACAAATCTACATCTTGACATGTTGGGCTAAAGCTTAAATAGAAATTGTTCGGCCATGCCACATTTTTCTCAAACTGAAATCTTACATGTACCTTAACCTTCTTTATCCATCAAGATAGAAAAAAACTCTCTATAAAAAGAAATAAAATCAGAAACAAAACCAGAAAACAAAATCAGAAAATCCTTACTCAGCGGAGAAGACACCATGCAATTAGCTCTGCTTTTTTTCCCTCAAAGTTCTTATAGGAAGATTTAATCAAGAGGCTGTCTTGGGCCAAGGGGTCACTTCCTTTGGGAATCCTTTTATCTCTCCTTGCTGTGAGATCAGGGAGGAAAAGAAGTAACAATTGGCATTCCACTGTGCTCAGAGCTTTAAAAGTACGTTCATACATAATAAGAAGGATGAAAAAAGAAACTCTATCCAGAACAGTCTCAAGCCCTGCTGACAAAGACATCCCCTTACCTGCCCACGCTCTGACTTAAATCATGAGTGGCAGATAAGGGGGTCACCAGAGGCACAGAGTGAGGGAACCTACCTTGTCTTTGAGGTTGCTTTATGGCAGGCACTGTTCTAATCACTCCTTCTATCTTATAGCATGCAACCCTTACAACATCACTGAGCCATGGGCATCATTATCTGTATCAGGGGTCAGCAAACTATAGCCCATGGGCTAGATCCAGCCTGCCGCTTGTTTTCGTACATAGCTTTATTGGAACACAGCCACACCCATTTGTTTATGTATTGTTTCTGTCTGCTTTGGTGCTACAAAGGCAAAACTGAGTATGTAGTTGCAACAGAGACCTTTTTTTTTTCTGCGAAGCTTGAAATATTTACTATTTGTCTCTTTACAGAAAAAGTTTGGCAACACCTGATCTACATGATACTTATGAGAAAATGAGGCCTGAGGATGTTCAATACTATTTCAAATGTCACTCAGCTACTCACCGGCACAGCCAAGATTTAAACATGTAGCAATCTGACTTTAAATCCCATGTTCTTTTCATTTCTCCAAATCAGAATTAAAAGAGTACGACCCAAACTTCCTTCAAAGTATAGTGTGTAAGTGGCATAGCACATTAAAAACTGACAGAGATGAGACATGAATAATAGTGCTATTTTTCAAGACACTTGTGAGACATAATAACTGTTGGAACCCTTAAGCTATGTAAGAACACTGCACTATAAGTTATCTTTTCCCTTCAACTTTTAATTTAACTCTACACCAAAAAATTATAAGACAAATCATTTGGAAAAAACATTAATGGAATTTTACCAGAAACATTTGCATTCGATTTCAATGTATAGCTTTCACATTAAAACAGACCCTAGGCCGGGCGCGGTGGCTCATGCCTGTAATCCTAGCACTCTGGGAGGCCGAGGCGGGCGGATTGCTCGAGGTCAGGAGTTCAAAACCAGCCTGAGCGAGACCCTGTCTCTACTAAAAATAGAAAGAAATTAATTGACCAACTAAAAGTATATATACAAAAAAAAAATTAGCCGGGCATGGTGGTGCATGCCTGTAGTCCCAGCTACTCGGGAGGCTGAGGCAGAAGGATCACTTGAGCCCAGCAGTTTGAGGTTGCTGTGAGCTAGGCTGACGCCACGGCACTCACTCTAGCCTGGGCAACAAAAGTGAGACTCTGTCTCAAAAAAAAAAAAAACAGACCCTAAAATATTTCATGTGTTGCCTTAGTGTGCTATGAGACCACCTGTATGAACTTGCTAGCTCTTTTTCAGCTAGATAGGGAGGGGGGATTGGGCAGAGTGTGCTTAAAATCAAAGTCTGACTTTTTCTTCATTTTTAGTGTAGCTTTCGGTTTACATGTCAGTTTCTCTTTCAAGACAGGTATTGCTTAACTCCTTCACCACTCAATTAGCTGAAACATGATACTTGGTAGAGACTGCTGGCAGGTACCTGATGGAAGAAATTGCTTTGGAAGAAACTGCTCCTGCCCACCTGCTCATACTGCCTCACCTGAGCCGTCAGAGATTAGCAGCCTTTACCGGCAGCCATTAAATTTCCCCAAAGTGCTATTGGCACCATAAAGGTACAAGGCTTTAAAAACAGACCCCAGAGAAAGGGGGTAGGCTGGCTCAGTTCACACCGGGGGCAGTAAATGTGGGAAAGTAGCATGTCCCCAGAACTCAGTCCTTCCCAGATGGAGTCCAGCTGTTGCATCGATCCGAGAAAGGCTAGTTGAGGGGGGAATAAAATGAAAGATTACCAACTTATTTTTACTTTTGAGACAAGTTTAGAATTCAGGGTTGAAAGTCAAAGTCTATGAGTCTCAGTCACTCACAGTGGAAAGAAAGGGAAGAAATAAGTCAGCACTAAAGTAACAATCCTCCAAGTAGACATAAAAGTCTTCACTTCACAAATCTGATTACGGGGCACGCAGGACTCTCCAGCATCCGGGCAACGAGTGTGTCATCTTGACTTGCTAATTTTCACCCACTCTTTCCCATCCAAGAGCAGGAAGGGGATAAAATTCCAAGCAATGAAAACAACTTGGAGAAATTTGCATTCATTGTTAAGTGGGCTGGCAGTGAAAGTACTGGCTAGAGTGTGGCGTGGGGATGTCCCTTTTCTACACATTCTGGTCGTCTGTTAGCACAAAGAATTGGGTTGCCATTTATATCCCCTGAAGGCCCCTATGAGAACAGCCTCTGACCTCAGCTCATTACTCACTGGTGATGTGAGAGTTAAGCACGTGGGCTCCAGCAGGACACACCCAAGTCTGTCAGGGCACGATGTACAGTCCTGGGTCAGGACGACCCACAGCACCAGCGGGCGGGTGCCAAGTCAGCTTTTCCTCCTCCCTGCGGGACAGTGGAAGAGGGAGGCTGTTCAGTCAAACTTTTCTCAGTCCCACTGTAGCTCTGCGCAGCCTACTAGGTGGTGGCTTGTGGCTTCCAAAAGGAATGTTCCGGAAGCCGAGTACATTCCATCGAGTCACCGCTGGGACTCTCTCAGTTTGTCCTGCCTGCCTGCCTTCTGTTTCTCACACGGCACACTCCCCTGCTGAGGCACAGCTGAACTGTTGCCACTTCTATGACTTCTTTTCTGACCCTTCCAACCAGAGTCCATCACTTCCTCACCATTATTTCCCCACTTCCCAGTGTCTGTCATCTCCGTGTAGAACTCATCACACCACAGGGAGGCACCTGACTACTCTCTGTCCACTCGTTGCTGTGTTTATCTTTGTAGCCACAGCACCCAGGTCAGTGCCTGGCAAAAAGCAAAACAAACATTCAGGAGGTCTTTTGTCTATGACTAGTCAGAAACTGTGATCCTGGCTTGTTTTGTAAAAATAAATATTATATCAAATATTATTTAAAGTTATTTAGATTATTTGAGCAGTATTAAAATATTAATTTTAGGCCGGGAGTGGTGGCTCACGCCTGTAATCCTAGCACTCTGGGAGGCCGAGGCAGGTGGATTGCTCGAGGTCAGGAGTTCAAAACCAGCCTGAGCAAGAGCAAGACCCCGTCTCTACTAAAAATAGAAAGAAATTAATTGGTCAACTAATATATATAGAAAAAATTAGCCGGGCATGGTGGCGCATGCCTGTAGTCCCAGCTGCTCGGGAGGCTGAGGCAGGAGGATCACTTGAGCCCAGGAGTTTGAGGTTGCTGTGAGCTAGGCTGACGCCATGGCACTCACTCTAGCCTGGGCAACAAAGTGAGACTCTGTCTAAAAAAAAAAAAAAAAAAAGGAGAAAAAAAATATTAATTTTATTAAATTAATGTATTAATATAATTCATATTAAAATATTGATTTATTAATTAAAATTAATACTTTAATATTGCCCAAAGCCTCTCAAAAATAACATGTATCCACATTTATTAAAAGACAGGAGAAGTTTAAGCAAACTAGAAAGGAGTGAAGGACAGAAAGAACAGCTTTGCTAAGGAATATATGCAGACAGCGTCTCATTCTAGAAACCAAGTAGGTGGGACATGTGATCCTTCACTGCCCACAGCTACCAGGAAAAATATGGACAAGGAGCTATTAATAACAGGGTATATAACCGATTTCATGTTCAAAGGGGCTAAAAGTGAGTAGACATCAGAGCCTATGGGCAGAGCCAGAAGGCAGAGCTGAAGAATATTTCAGGGACACCAAGGGTGAGGAAGTAGACTCGTGCCTTGCCAGCATAGTCCCTAAATTCAAGATTAGAGATGTTTTGCTTCTCCTATAGTAGACAAACAGAAGAAGCTAGATGCAGAGAAGTTTCTATCAAACAAGCACCATTGTCTTCCATATGCTCAGCTTGTGGAATACAGTGGAAATATTGCATTGATATAGTAGGACCCACACAACACATGCTTTATAAAGAATTTCTTGACCAAACTCTTTAAACAATAATGAGGCATAATCCTCTAAGGGTGTGTCTGTAGAAATACTCTATAACCTAGAAATTCACTATCAGGAGAGAAATTCTTGCACAGGTACAACAGAAGTCATAGACAAGAACGTTCACAGCTGTACTGTTGTAATACAAAAAAAATATATAAATATCTCCATCAGCTGGAGAATGATTACCCAAACTGTGGACTAGTCATATGATAAAATATTATATAGCAGTGAAAGTGAATTAACTACAGGTATACACAACACTGTAGGGGAATCTTAAAAACAAAATAAAAATGAAATAACAAGTTGTAGGAGACAATGCTTAGAATGACTAATTTTTTTTCTTAAGCCCCCAAACAAAGCTAAGTGAGATATTGTTTAACAATATGCACATGTGTGATAAATTACTAGGAAAAAAAGCAAGAAAATGAAGCAGTGGGGTATGTAGGATAAGATTGAGGTATACAAATGTAACTTCAACAGTTGGTGGAGTGTTCACAGGTGTTCATTTTTTTATTATGGTTTTGACATACTTATATGTTATGTTCTTTCTTCTGTATTACTCAAATATTGCATAACAATAATAAATTAATATTTTATTACTAAAAGACATCTGTTTTGAAAGTGTTTTATATCAAGAAGATTTGCTATCAATTGTGCTGCTGTAGAAGAATGAAGAGATGAAGACTCAGACATAGAATACAAACTTATAACATGAAACAATTTTTCAAGGAACCATTTATGCCCAAATTAAAAATTTAAAAAAACAAGGCATGGGGGGCAATTAATTTGCCCAGAGTTACCCATCAGGCAAATACTAGTTTTTATTGCCTTTATTGTCTAACTTAAGCTGTTGAGAAAAAAAAAATAATCAGGGTAAATTTTCACTAGCTAAAACAATTTTCAAAAGGGTTCAGACTTAGATTTTTACAGCAAGTGATTTTTTTTTCCCCTTGGGGAGCCTCTCTTTCTGATCATTTCCAAAATGAACTGAGCAGAACAAAAGACTGTGGTTACCCAAGCTCTGAAAATATTTAGAGATTATTTCCTATTGCAATATCTTTTACTTTCCCCATGTGAAATACAAAAAAAATCAAGGCTCTAATGATGAGACCTTAAGGAAAAATATATCAAATGAAAAGTCTGAAGGTACAAATGCTTCATATTTTAATAAATGAGAAAAAATGCAGTCAATTGAATAATTGAAACTGTCTTTGGAGTGATTTTTGCTAAATTTCATATCAAGTGTTTTGTTTTTCCGGGTTTTTTTTAGAGGCAGAGTCTCACTCTGATGCCCAGGCTGGAGTACCCTGGTGTGATCATATTCACTTTTTCTTCCTTTGTTCTGCTTTCTTTCTCTCTCTCTCTCTCTCTCTCTCTCTCCCCTTCTCCTTCTTCCTTCCTTCCCTTCCTTCCTTCCTTCCTTCTTCCTTCCTTCCTTCCTTCCTTCCTTCTTCCTTCTTCTTCTTCCTCCTCTTCTCCCTCCCTCCTCCCCCTCCCCTCCCTCCCTCCCTCCTCTTTCTTCTTCTTTCTTTCTTTCTTTCTTTCTTTCTTTCTTTCTTTCTTTCTTTCTTTTTCTTTCTTTCTGACAGAGTCTCCCTTTGTTACCAGGGCCAGAGTGCAGTGGCATCATCACAGCCCACTGTAATCTCAAACTCTTGGGCTCAAGCGATTCTCCTGCCTCAGCCTCCTGTGTAGCTGGGACTACAGGTGCATACCATCACACCTGGCTAATTTTTCTATTTTTTGTAAAGACAGGGTCTTGTTCTTGCTCAAGATGGTCTTGAACCCCCAGTTTTAAGCAATGCTCCTGCCTTGGCCTCTCTGAGTGCTAGGATTACAGGTGTGAGCCACTGTGCCCAGCCTCTCTTCTGCTTTCTTAAGCTATTATCTTCTTCCTATAAAACTCACCCTCTAGGCTCAGCCCAGCAGAGTGCCTTTCTAGTTCATAGATGGGATGCTACCTGATTTGTGAATCACTAATGAAAGCAATTTAGATCATTAAACTCAATTTGTTAAAATGTTGTTTCTTTGACAACTTTCATTACTCCTGCATAAACAAACATCTAGGAATAGAGTGGTTGTATCATATGGTACATACATGTTTAAATTTTTAAGAAACTGTTAAACATATGGTGACATATGTGACATATGGTACATATAGTTTACATTTTTAAGAAACAGTTGGAAACACCAGCTGTTTTCCAAAGTAGTTGTACCATTTTACATTCCCACCAGTAGTATATAAAGATTCCAGTTTCTCCACATCCTTGTAAACACTGCTATAGTCAGTCTTTTTAATTGAAGTCATTCTAACAGTCGTGCAGTGGCATCTCCTTTTGTTTTTAATTTGCATTTCTTTAATGGCAAATTATATTGAATGTTTTTTCATTTTTTTCATGCACTTATTTATATTTATATATTTTCGTTCATAAAGGGTCCCTTTGGGTCTTTTGTCTATTGTTTAACTGGGTTATTTTTTAGTGAGCTTTGTAAGTTGTTTAAATATTCTGCATATGTCTTTTTTCAGATATATGATTGCACATATTTTCTCCCAGTCTGTGCCTTGATTTTTAATTTTTTAGTAGTGTTCTCCAATAGTTTGAGCTTTTAATTTTAATGAAACCCAACTTACCAATTTATTATTTTATGGATTGTGTTTTGGTGTCCTAGCTAACAAATACTTGCCTAAGCCCAAGTCACAAGAGTTTTCATTTATGCTTTATTTAGAAGTTTTATAGTTTGGGATTTGATATTTAGGTCTATGATCTTTTTGAGTTAATGTTTATATATGACATGAGTTGTGGATTAGAGTTTGCTTTTGTATATGAATATCCAATTGTTGAAAAGACTAGTATCATTTTTTGAAAAGATTTTCTTTGACACTAATTGCTGTTACACTTTGGCAAAAATCAGTTGTCCATGTATGTGTGGTTCTATTTCTGGACTATCTATTCTGTTCCATTGATCCATTTGTCAATCTTTATACCAATTTTACTAGATTACTGTGGCTTTATAATAAGTCTTGAAATTAGGTCATGTTAGTCCTCCAACTTTGTTCTTTTTGTCAAAGTTATTTTGGCTATGTTATGTCCTTTGCATTTACATATGAATTTTAGAATCAGTTTGCTAACTGGTGAGGTTTTAATTGATATTACATTGACTTTCCTGAAAAATTTGAAAAAAAGATGACATCTTAACAATATTGAGTACTGCTGTGATATTTCTGCATTTTGGAATATTTCTCTATTTACTTAGACCTTTAGTTTCAATTTACAGATCTTTCTCACCTTTTGTCAGATTTATTCCTAAGTATGTCATATTTTTTATACTATTTTAAGTGATTTTTTTTTCATTTTCTGATTTTTCCTTGCTAGTATATAAACTTCATCTGTTAGTAGCGGTAGCTTTTTTGTGTGTGGATTTGATCAGATTTTCTACATAGTTGATCATGTAATTTGTGAATAATGACAGTTTTTCTCCTTCCTTTCCAATCTGGATGTCTTTTATTTTCATTCATTCATTCATTTCTGGTCTTGTTGCATGGTCTAGCACCTCCAGTACAATGGTGAATAGAAGTGGTGAGAGCAGATATCCTTGGTGTCATCCTGATCTTATTCCCATAGATAATTTTAAAAGCTCCCTCTCTTTTCTACCTCCTCCCCATGCCTGAACACCTACATATGCTATGCTGTGTCTGTCATGGGACAGGGTTAGTTACTTCCCTTCCACCAGGCAGCTATCTTGTTGGCAGCCCTGCCCTGGATGATACTCTAAGATGTATTGCAGACACTCCTGTCTTCAAGAAAGGAGCCGTGTGTAGCACATTAGACGAGGCAAATCTACATGCTACCTGCCACATGAGTTATATGAAAAAATGATGGATAGTCTGGAGTTTCCTGAATATCACTGAAGGCTTTAAATCAGGACAATAGAAAACGATAATTATGATGCTCCTGGCTTCACTTTCCCACACAGGGTTGAGAGCAAGTTTCCGCTGAGCCTTGTTCACTTGGGGGGAGCAGATGTGTGTGTGTTTGTGATTCAGAACATCAGGAATCAAGGAGAAACTTCCTGCCCTTCTGTTCTGTTTAAAAGTCCTTCTCCTCTAAACCATGTCCCTGGAGGGCAGATGGCAGGCTCTGGGGAACTGCCCAGGGTAGCTAAGATGCCATTTCTTCATTTCCCTTTCACTGTACACTCATTTAAAGACACCAGGTCACCCCAAAGCCAATTTCTTGCTCATTTTTTTCTTTATCCACCTCTCCAATTTTTTTTGATGTTGTTGGTAAGATATATGGACTGAAGAAAAGTGATAATAGTCACAACAAAGTTTATCTTGATAGGAAAATGAGGAAATATATATAGCCCCAGTTTAAAAACCAAAGTGTTCTTTTGAAATCTAGTTAGGAGTTGGGGGGAAAACATTGATATTTTTCTTCAGCGATTTAGTCCTTAAAAGGGATATGTTGGACTCTATAGTTTAACTGCCAAATCCTTCATTCATATCCATCTGGACATTTTTAAAAGGGTCCTTGAGCCAGTCGGAATTGGCAGTTGGTGGTATAATCACACCTGCATATGGTGCAGGGTTTTGTTTTTTTTTTTTTTTTTTAATGGACAGAAACAGAGCATGAAAGTATTGCACGATGTGCCTCCATTGAGAACCCACGCTTAAGCATGTTTGCACGTGCAAGTAATTATATTATATTTTAAAGTTCTCTGTTAACAAGCCTTTGTTCTTTATTTCCTACAAATCAAATTAGTTGGGGATACAGTTCATTTTGAAATTATTTGAAAAATGTTTTGGTGTTCTAGAATTTCCTTTGTACCAAAGTTTTGCAAACTTAAAAGGAAAGCCACAAATGTCTACAACCAGTGAAGAAAAAAATGTATAAAACCAACAACAAATAAAAATGTTAAATACCCTGGTGTAGAAGAGAAGTAAAGCTTGTGTCTCTACGTACATGCCACTCTCCATGTGGGTTCAGCACCAACTGACTGTACATGAAGAAAATCTTTAATGCTCACATATCCAAGGAGAATCCTGGCTTTAAAATATTGCATTAGTCTCAGTTTAATTTAGGCTGCCAAGTCTCTCCTTGTGCTTCCCTTAAAAGTGAATCTGAGCACACATTACCCCAAATCCATCCAGGACTGAAGCTGTTGTATGATGGGGTTGTTCTTTGAGATGATTTTCAAAGGAAACAAATGCTATGGGAAAAGGAAGCATCCTTACTTGGAAGAGCAAAGCTAAGAAATTGTCTTTAACCATATACCCTGCTTCCTTTGCTAGTAAATGGAGCCTGATTTGGGAAGGGCAATGAGATAATCTACAAAAATCACTTGGAACAATCTCATTAAGCGTGTCCCCTTCACTTCGACTACTCTGCATCTTTAAAATAATAGTCACCACGTGAAAATCCTACATAGTGTGTCCACTAGTCACTGTGAAGGAGATTCTATCTCAACAGCTTTTAAGGAATGCTTAGTAGCTTCTAACTTTCAACATGGAAGGGGACATCCAGAAAATGTGGTGGGGGGATTAAAATGAATATCAAATTTGACATGTAAAAGACTAACATAAAATGATATGGCAGACTTGTGATTACTTCACTGAACATACTTTAATCATAAATTATTGTAAAAAAAACAAATCTCCTGTAGGTGTACATTTTTATCTGCGAATCTTTTTTCTAAAACTGCTAAAATGGATAGGAATGGATAAAGTATGACTTAGAATCTATTTATTGGCTCATTTGCCATTTGTTCTCAAGGGATTATGCATCCTTTCATTTTGTTTGGTTGCTTTGACTTGAAAAAAGTAATGCAACACAAATTGACACAAAACATTAAAAACAACTTTGCAATGAATTATAGTAGTGTCACAGTGATTTTTAATAAACAGGAAACAAATAAAAAAGTTAAAAATTGAATTTAAAATGCAGGGTAGGTTGCCTATTGGTAACTTTTACCTCACATGTGCAAGGAGTCTGTGGTTACTTTGGTCTTGCTGGGCCTTTCCCTCTCCGTCTTCCTACGACACTCTCCCTTCCCAGCTTTCCAGCTTTCTGTTGGCCTCTTTGCCACGCCGTCAGTTCTTGACACCGACAGCCATTGTTACCCCTATGTGTAGAAAATATGTGTGGAAAATCAGAGACGCCTAATGGAAAAGGCTATCGTCATCCAAAAGTATCATTTGAAAATAAAAGCATGGCATTTTACTAAATTGGGGTATCTTTCTTTAGTGGATATGAAAGCAGATATGTGAAATTACAGGCTAAAACTCATATTTGGTTTTGACCCCCAAAATAAGTGGAAAAAAAAATAATTTGATGATGTTTCTTAGCCAGACAATGAAAGAATCATCTATGCCTTCTTAAATGGGAAGGGCTTTTAAGACTTGGACAGGGTGTCAGTACACAGATTTTATAATTGCCACAAATATGACTTGAGCACTCCAGCCAGGGAGGGACGTGCACTGATGGGAAGGGTGGGGAGAACACTTAGAAAAAAGCTGTTCTTAACTAAGAGCATAAGTTTGGATTGCATAGCAGCTTTCTTATGACTAATTTTTGTTTCTGATGATAAAAATACAACTCTTAAATGGAAAGAAAGGGGCTCATACTACACAAAACACAACTCAATTCCATCACTTTGTGACTAATCAGTGATTGGCACTGACATGAATGTATATTTTACATAGCTGGATCAGTCAGAGTTCAGTAGTGGCTAATAAAACCACTCTAGCTGTTTTAAGAGGAAAAGGGTTTAAAAGGAATTAAAGACTTATAAAATAGATAGAAGGGTTCTAGGCTGACTCACAGATAACTTATAGAACAACACAGCAGAATGAGCCCACGCATTCTCCAATGGAGAACTGTTATCTCTATTGTCATACCATCAGGGACCCAGGAAATCAGGGAGCTTCTGTTCCAACTGCAGGCTCTAGTTCCCCTGCTGCTCTGCTGAGATCCACCCCAGCACTATAGATATCCACCTCCTGACACCTGGGAAGCCCCAGGTGAACACTGGCACACCTGAGCTGCTGTGGGGTCCTACTCAATTTCACATATGTCTTTCGAACTATGGTCAGTATCTTTACTTGGAGGAAGTTAGGTCATTTGAAATCACAAGTTAGCTGGAAAATATAATATTTAGTTCTCAGTCTCTAGCATGACATAAGGGACTGGTTCTCAAACTTCACTGCAAATTATAACTACCTGGGGAGCTTTTGCAATCCAAACACCTATGCTCCACCTCATAACAAGTAAATCACAATCTCTGGGGATTCGGTATTTTTTTTAAGGCAACGCAGGTGAATCCCACGTATAGCCAGTGATGAACAAGAGATGCAAGGCATGGCTTCTCAAAATTTGTTGTACACATGAATGATCTGGGCATTTTGTAAAAATGACTCAGCTAGTCTCAGCTAAGGCAGCATTTCTAATAAGCTCCCAGGTGCTGCCGCTGCTGCAGACTGCACTTTCAGGAACAAGACGGACAGCAGTGCTCTCCAATGTTAGGGAGCGTCAGAGTCACCTGGAGGGTTTGTTAGGACAGATTGCTAAGGCCACCACCAGCACATCTGACTCAGAGAATGTGGGTTGGAGCAAGAGAATTTGAATTTCTAACAAGTTCTTAGATGTTGGTGAAGCTGTTCTGGAGGCCACAGCACCACTAATGCAAAGTGTGTTACGAGGTGGTTGGAATGGAGGTGAATGAGCCAATTTCTGTACCTGCAACAGGTGGCCACCATGTGGCGTTCTAATGAATTCAGAGTTTATATTCCCTTAGGAATAGAGGAGGATACTCTATCTGGATATAACAGATAGAGGGGGACTCTGAGAAGAAAGTGAAATGCAATTATACCAAATGCAGTTGCCTTGGTCTATCTTCCTTCCATCCAAGAAATTACTGATCAGTTAGCTGGGACAACCTTATAGGAGCATGCAGCTAGATGGCAGAAGGAAGGAGAAGGAAAGAGAAAGCATTAGTTTTCTGTTTATCTCCACATTTTACTCTTTAGAAAATCAAAGCAACATATCTGAATGATGTATGAATGGTAGAGGTAAACAATCTATGGCTCTTGTTGTTCCCATGGACTTAAACGGAATGCAACAGCTTCCAATAATACGGAATGGAAGAACTCCACATGGGAAGAAAGTTTGACTAATAGTTTCTGACTCTATTCTTCAGTTTCAACTCCAAATGTCTTCCCCTAACTTGCCCCCAGTGATTGCTGAAGCATTTTCTCTGACAGTCACAGAGAATCTTATCAAAACTACAGACATACATGGTATTCTCCCAAGTCTTGCAAAAATGTATACAACAGTGAGCTGTTTTTACTCACAACTCTGCTGATACCAAATGAAAAGTTTTTGTTTTGTTTTGTTTTTTTCTCACAGGAACCAGTTCTCTGATACTTTGAATAGGAACCGGATGTTCAAAAATTCAATTCAATTCTGACACTAACTACCTGGAGTTAGTGCAGACCCCACAGGCTAAGGGCTCAGTCCCACAAGACTGCCCAACTCTCATCCCCACTTCAGATGTCAGTCACTAGTCTCAGGCTTCCTGTATTCCTAATTGATCAGCTACTAATCAGGGGTTTCCATGACCCCCTCTTCAGGTTCAATAATTTGTTAGAAAGGCTCATGGAACTCAGGAACATACTTTACTTATGTTTACCAATTTATTAAAAAGGATACAGCACAAGAGCAGCAAGTAGAAGAGACACACAAGGCAAGGTATTGGGGGGTGCACGGGGCTCCCACACTCCCTTTGGGTACACCACCCTCCAGCACATCGATGTGTGCACCAACCTGGACCACCACCATTTAGGGTATTTTTTGGAGGTTTCATTTTTTAGGCATAATTAATTAATTCATTGGCTATTGGTGACTAATTCCATCTCCAGCTCTTCTCTCCTCCCCAGAGGCTGGAGAGTGGAGCTGAAAGTTCCAATCCTCTAATCATTCTTTGGTCTTTCTGGCAGCCAATCCTCTTCTTAAGACTAGGTAAGGGCCTACCAAGAGTCACCTCATTGAAACAAAAGACACTTCTATCACCCTTATCACTCAGGAAATTCCAAGCATTTTAGGAACTCTGTGCCAGGAACTGGGGACAAAGACCAAGTATCTTCCTGGGGTACCACCACAAACAAGGTCTATGGCCCTCGAAGTTCTCACAACCAAGTTTTGAAGGTAGGATGTGGAGATAATAATATAATTAACAATACAGTAATGTATTATCTTTGAGTGTTACAGAGCCAAAGTGCTATAGGCATTCATAAAGGAAGGTACTCAGTCACCAAGGGCTAGAATGGCCTGTATCAACACATCCTCCAAGGTGGGTGTGGAGGCTATTGCACTTACTGTATGCCAGGTTAGGCAGAGACAAAAAAGAAAGAAAAACCTCTGAAGGTCACTTCTTCTAATATGAGGGGTGGTAGGGGACAAGAAGAGAGTGAAATCACCAATGAAATCAGTTGCCTGGATTTCAACCTCCGCATTCCTTGTCTGTGCCCCAACCTTGAAAGGAGGAGGATAGAGCAGGGGGGTGGGGAGAAGGAAATTTTAGAGACATGAGATGGGTGACACTGGGGAGGTACTGACCTGCCTCTCTAGTCACAGTAAAGAGCAACCTGTGGCCCTTTAGAGGAACCCCAACCTACCACCACCACCACCAACACAGCACAGAGGTGATCACAGTGGAGCAGGCAGCAGAAGGGGAGATGACACAGGAGTATGTCAGTGCACCACACCTTGCCTGGAGTGTGAAGGAGCCCAACAAGTGCCCGTGTAGTCTTTGAGGAGGTGCAGAGGTTCTGAGAGAACCTGTCACATGGCAAAGGGTCAGGGAACAGGGGTGCCTCTATGGGCACAGAATTCAAGACCTTGGTGAACGGGCAGGACCTTGAGTGATTGAAGAACATGTCATACCACCAGGTAGTCACAGCTCAGCAGGAACTGGTCATATGTGCAGACCAGTCTGGCCACTCCTGTTGCCGAGGCCAGTGAAAATCCAAAGGTCACACCAAATGTTTAGTCAGATAATTTCAAGAATTTCAGAGAAAATATAGGTGTGTTCTATGACTTTAAGAGAAAAGACATGGTCGGGTATTTAGATACAGGGTTCACATGTTCAAAAGTAAAAACTGAAGCAACACTGATGGATGAAGACTCTGAGGAGTAGTGTCACATGAGCTGGTTGCAGGGGAAGGAGAGTGGCTGTAAAGACAGAGGTGGCCACAATAAACGTTCACCTCATTATTTTGCTATAGGAAACTGAGGCTCAGAGCAGGGTGGCAATTTGTGATTTATAAAGATGTTGGAAGAGATTTCCAGTGATACCCAAAATCATTGCCAATTTACTATTCACACATCAGATGCTGGGAGCTGTGTTATCAACACCATGTGGCAAGAAAACTTGGTTAGATAAACAAACCTTCTGAATTTTATCAGTGTATTATCAGCTAATGATTATTAAAGCGAGATTATTAAAGGCAGAGCAGCTTTAGAGGTGTGTGAATACACACATAGCAACCAGGGAAGGAGAGAGCTTTACCAATGCTGAATGTCCAGTGCTGCCTGACATCTAAGCTAAACTTAAGAGATTGAGGGAGAAGAAGCCAGAATAAAGAATGGGGGTAAAGGGGGCAGACAGAACAAAGACACTCCTACTCACAGGGGAAATTTTGCAGTAAAGAAGAAAGGATGTATATTTCGAAGGGTTTAGAGAAGGTTTTTTAGGTTGTCATTAATTTCGCGTCTATGTTGAGGGTTCCTGCTAAGTTAGGAAAGCCTGGTTCAGATGCACGGACAAAGAGGAAACAAGGAATTGGAGGAGGAATGGTAAACCGTGTCAGAGGAAAGGGGGATGTTGGTGGGGTGAAGCTCTGGGGGCAAATGATGTCCGAGGAGGTTGGAAGCAAGTGGACGGGATGTCTGTCCTCTTTTAAAACAGCAGAAGTGGCAGGGAGTAGGCCTGAATTCTACACCATGAACTGCTGCCCAGGGGGCAGTCATGCTTGCAATGGTTTCTTAACCTTAGCACTACTAATGTGTTGGCCTAGATAATTCTTTGCTGCAGGGGGCTGTCCTGTGCAGGGAATTTAGCAGCATCCCTGGCCCTCTTGTTGCCAGTAGGAAGCCTCCAGTCATGACAAGCAAAAGGTCTCCAGATTTTTACCAAATGTCTTCTTGGGAAGGCAGGGGCAAATCACCCTAGGTTGAGAACCACTGGATTACAGAGGTGGATGGTACCAAGTGAGGCAGCTACTTCTATATCCCAGAGGGCCTCGAGCTTCCAAGAGGTAAATCTACACAGGGAAAGAGGAATGTATGTGTGCGGGCAGGGGACAGGGATCAACACTAAGTTGCGGTTTATGAAGAAGGGAGAGGGGTTTGCAACCCTCTAGAAACACCCCCTCCCTCCGCAGTGGTCTCTTGGTGCAGCGAGGCCACAAAGGCTGCTTAGAGCAATTCACTGCCTTCGCAGAAAGGCAGCCACGAATCTTGCAAAATCTCTGCCTCTGGTACATATGCTGTGGGAGCTGAGATTTATAGTTGACACATCTCTGCTTTTGCAAAATTATATAATCTATGTCTTATGTTCAAAGGCCTTGTGGGATGTTTACAGTAAGTTATTGCAGCCACTGACATTTGAAACTGCACATGAAGGGGGTAGAGCAGGGCACGCACTGCCACAAAGTGGGTCCTTACAACCTCTTCAAAACCCCAGCACCACCTGTCACATGGCGTGGACGGGAAGTGTGGTCGCTGGGCCAAGGCAGGTGTCTCTGGGCGAGTGTGGTTAGTCTCCCTGTTCTCAGGGAAATTCTGTGAAATAGAGATGCAGAGAGTTAAATAAACAAGACCCCCCTCGCTTCTGAATCAAAGTGGAAAGAATTATAAGTTCACCATTTGCAGGTGTAAGCTTAGTGTTATAGGCCACCATGTGGCAAAGAGCTATCTCTTGTTCTATATCCCCTGCCCCAAATGCCACATAATGAATGATGGTGGCAGTGACTATTAGGCACTCATTTCTTCACACACTAGACACCTTCAGTAGCTAAGCTATGAATTGTTCCCCCCACTACAGTAATATTAAAAATAGGATTAGGAGGCTTCCCCCAGCCCTGGACATGGCCACACAGGCTACTGTTTAGTTAGACATATTATGACACATTGCTCATCAAGACAGTGGCAGGAGATGGGGGCATGTACTGAGAAAGTTGGGGAAAAGAGGCAAAAATTTCCTGCTCCTGGTGACTCTGATCAAGGGAAGTTTTCCCATCTACCTTTACAGAGGAAAATATCTCCAAGAAAATGCAATTAGAACTCCCGAAAGCAAATACTTCTCACCTTCCGCTAAGCCTACCTGGCACGCCACTCGGGAGGAGAATTTCTTTTTCCAGAATCCTCATGGCATTATTGCTCTCACAACTTGAAAATAATCTCTTCTGGTGACATGAGGAAGGGGACTATAGGGGAAATGACACTGGGTGCATTCATTCATTTGACCTATATTGACCGAGCATCCAGCACTGCTTTCAGCCCTGAGGATAAACGATGAATAAGATTGGAAATGTTCCTGCCCTCTGAATTGTGATGGGAAGGTGTGGTGTTCATTATCATTCTGCTATGAAAGGCTGCTGATCTTTAGGCTTCTTTTTTCTACAAAATGAAAGGCAAGCACTTTCAGTCTTAAGGCCTATTCTATCTTCACCCTCTACCACTTGGTGAGTTGGTCTATAGCAGAGAGTCAAAGCATTGGGTCTATGCTGTGGGTTGAATTGTGTTCCCTCCTCAAAAAAAAATCAAGTACAAAGGGTAGAGAATGTGAGAGCAGGGAAGAAACAGTCATAAGCAAATCAAGGTTGGTTTTCAGAAGGAACCAATCCTTCCAGCACCTGGATCTCAGACTTATAGGGTTCAAAACTATGAGAAAATAAGTTTCTGTTGTTTAAGCCACACAATCTGTAGTGCTTTGTTATGGTAGCCTCAGAAAACTAATATAGTCTATATCAACTCACTCAAAAGCATTTTTTTAAAGATGCCTAGACCTGGCACTAACACCGTAAACTGAAAGAGAATCTTCAGGCATTAGGGCCCAGGCCAAATAAAAAATTCAAATGTGGGCTAGTGTTATGTCTGAGGCCACCAAGGTTGGAGACCCATGGTCTACAGAATCCAATGGAACACCAGTCTCCTCACCTTGCTGATAGCTCTTAATCTTTCTGGGTGCCTATTTCCTTTCAGGAAGACATTTCCTGAGCCTTCACCTCATGTCACTTAAAGGCAGAGAGGAAGAGGCAGCCTTTCCTGAAATGTCCCCTGTCACAAGTCATTTGACCTCCTCATGCCTTTCCTGGTTTCCTTCAGATTGAGGCAGAAAACTAGTGCACTGCTTGCTACATAGGGATGATTTGAAATTTAATTACTAGATCCTTGTTAAAGCACTCCATGAAGTCTTTTGATGAAACAACCTCTCTAACTACAAAGCATTGTTTAATAAGAAGGTATAGCCTGGAGGCACTGCAGGCTCCAGTAAGGCCTAGCTCCTTTTTTATGCAACTGAAGTATCGCCTTAATCCACCTGGTGAATTACTAGAGCAGCAAGCTTTACTCCAGGGCTCTGTGGGCGTCCTGCTAATTCCTCCCAATTCCCCTCCACTTCCTTCACCTCAATTGTTTCAGTGAGTTCTCCTCAGAAAATCCCTCTAGTATAATTTCACACAGTGAATAATGCTGTGTTGACTTAAACATCAGGGAACTAATTGGCTTTATCATTGTTTGGTCTACTGTCATCTTCTTGGAGGACAGCCCTGAGGGAATGTACAAGGAGTTTGGCTTGTAGAGTTGGGAGAAAGTAGAGAAAGTTATCCAGAACTCACAATTACCTAGAAGCCTTGAGTTCTGTCTAACAGCCATGATAAGAGCTAAGAAGACCAAGCAGAGAGAGGGGTAATAGGAAGTTGAAAAGGGAAGGCTCAGTGGGAATGTAGCCAAGGCCCACCTTATCTTTGAGGTTATTTGTGTTCACATTGATGTCTTAAAAGAGGGAACGTGAACAGCAGAGAGAGGATGAAATCGGAGCTTTCCAACAGGTGTGCAGAAAATGGCTCCCAAGTGTGGACAAATGCCTCAATATTGATTTCTTTTAGCCCTTGGGACAGTCTACTGACCTCTGGGATACAGGTCCTAGGTCTGTCCCCTCCAGAAAGTAGAAGCCTAATCAGAGACTTCAAATTCCCTCCAGTTTAAGGAATATGTAGAAGAACATCATCATTTTATCATATTTTCTATGATGGGAAAAAATTTAGGAACTGGACTGAATGACTTTCAGTCCTCTATTTTCACTACTTCCTCTGTTACCCTTTCAGTTTCATCTCTACATAACATCCAGGTTGAGCCTCCTAAATGCCTGCCTTGGTTCAAAATTCTTCCCAAATTACCCATTGTTCTTAGAATAAATTCCTGAACATGGCTAGCAGAGCCCTCCACGATGTGCCTCTGTGCACATCTGGACCACAATTCTCACCATTTCCCATGCCACCCTCCAGCCTGACCAGACCAAACTGTCTTCATTTCCTCTAAAAGGTCATGTGGACTTTCAATTCCGGGTTTTCACACACAATGTGCCCCTTCGGACTGCTACTGCCCATCCCTGCCCCCCCCACACACACACTCACGCACATGTACACATCTGGACAACTCCTACTTGTTCCAAAAGGGAAAGGATTGTATCTGTTTTGCTCACCATTGGCATTCAATGCCTAGTACAATGTTTCAAATATAGCAATATTTGCTGGATGAGTGGATGGATAAATGGATGAGGTTCTTTCATACAGGAGAGTTAATGGTTTTTTTCCCTTTTAGATTTATGTTTTAGTTTCTGCTTTTAAAAAATATTCTGCATCAGTACTTGAAATAAAATAACCTTCTCTTCATTGAACCTCCTCAAAGGGGTTCTACCATCCCTGACCACACTATAGGCAGAAACTTGTACAAAATCAGTGCTCTCTTAGCATAGAAGAAGGCTGGGTAAGGAACCACTAATGTTTTATACAGTTTTCAAGAAAGGGAAGAAGATGGAAAGAGGAAGCAATAAAGAAGGATTACAACTCAACAGATATTGAGTTCCTATTATGGAACGGCATAGTGCTAGGTGCTCGGGACAGGGATGGTGCATAAGACAGTCTTTCAATTTTCAGAGACCATGGACGTTAGTTGGGAGTCATACAGGGGGAGTAATTACATTGTGACTAGGGTATGAAAAAGAGAAGCATAGTTGCCTTGGGCATATGTAGCAAGCCCCTTTAACCTAATCCAGGGTAAGTTAAAATTTCCTTGAGGAAGGGAATTCTAAGCTGAGACATGAAAGATGGCAAGGGTTGCATGTGCAAAGGATGAAGAATGGACTTGGCAGTATGCTAAAGGCCTAACTTCCTAGAAAGAATAACAGACTTTTGAAAAGCTGACAGGCTCTCTGTGTGAAGGGAGTGTAGACAGGGAGGGTGTGCTCTGCATCAAGTGTGGAGAAACAGGCAGAGTCCCTGTCACCCAGCACCACGTAGATCATACTGCAGAATTGGGGCTTTATCCCAAGAGCAAGTACAAACAAGTACTTTAAGCTAGAGAGTGACACTGTCAGATCTGTCAGAGCTTCTATAGGGTGGAGAAGGCTTGAGAAGGGCAAGTGGTGATGTAGGACTCCTAGGATATAGGATACAGAAGATCCCTATGGAATATCAGGTGATGGTACATGAAGTAAGGAGGTGCTAGTGGGATTGAAGAATGGCAGAAGGATTAAAGAGAGAGTTAATAGAAGCAACAGGACTCGGTGATTTAACCAGCTAGGGGAGTGGAAGAAAAGACATAAATATGTGTGGAATGAATGAATGGTGTCAGTATTTAATATTCAATCCTCTATATTTTGAAGGCATCGCATCAACATCAATGCAGAAGCACCTTCCTTCTCTCTGCTAGCAGTGGCTAGGCCTGTCTGGGGGATGAGGGACAAGGTATGTTCTTCCCACCCCTCTCCTTTCTCTTCCCAGCTCTTTCCCTTAGGTACAGGGGCCAGGAGAAGATATAGGAAGGTAATTCTCCTTAGGGAATTGCTACCGGACTGGTCTTCTGGGTTGACTGTTGCCTCCTCTTTTGCCAGCACTGACCATCACCAGTGTCTTTGTGTGGCAGACATTCATGTGCTGCCTGTCCCCTAAGCCAAACACACGTGTTCCTTGGAGGAAACAGCTGGGGTCTCCTCGATGCATGTTCTCAGATGAGAAGACTCAGCTGTGACTTAACATGTCTTACCAGCCACCTCCTTCAGCTCCCACCTTGGTGGTCCTTCACCCCCTGATAATCCACTCCTGCCACTTGGGCTGCTCTCTTTGGGGGAACACCAGAAAGCCAACTATCTACGATTGGATCCATTCACTCTGACAAAAAATTTACATTCTTACCGTGATAAATGGTAAGAGTACAGGCTGTTTGGTCTTCACATCTTTTTCTGGTCTCCCAGTCACTCTCCAATTCTCTTTTGCCATGTTTGGTGGCCTAGAGACAGATAAACAGCTCTGTTAGTTATGCAGCTGCCTAAGAGGGCAATGAAGTGGTAGGCACTCCCCAGGTGACCGGTGATTCTCTTGAGACCTTCCTGCATTGCCTTCAGGGAAGCTGAAGACTCCACCATACTGCCACCGTGTGAGAACAGAATGGAGTGTTTCTTTAAAAGCACTATGCTTCCCGAAGCTGGCCATCCCTCCTCGCCCAGTCCTTTTGCTATAATGATTGAGTGGGGGACAGGCAGGGTGGTTGGATTAATGGAACTGATTATGAGGTCTCCTGATTATCGTTTTAGGGTAGGGTGACAATTTGAAATGCTGGCAGCTCTCTGGACTTTGCAAGTTAAGTTTTTGGTGATTTAGGTCTCCACTGTGACCTTAGTCACAATTCTGGGAGCACAAGAAAATGCCTTTACATAGCCTGTTATACTTTGAGCAGTGACACCTTTTCAATTCTTCAAAATGCAAAAGCTAAATGAGTTATTGATGGTAGGGGGGCATCGGTAGGCTGTAGGGTTAAGAGAGCCCATGAGAAGCAGCTGTCTCACCTTCATAAAAGTGCCCTTACTGCAACAGCACAAAATGAAAGATTCTGTTTCTGAAGTCCCAGGGTCACCTCAGGACTGTGCTCCAAACCTAGCCTACTGTTGGCCATGAAGGCCTGAACTTGATGTACCAGGAAGCTGGCATCCATGAAGACCATGGAAAGAGAAAAGAAGAGGGAGCAGATGGAAGCAATCCAGTGACAACCAAGGTCCAAGCTCACTGAGGTGGGCTTGGGGGAGTAACAAGAATGTGCTTTCTTTAGAAAAAGACTAAATGGAGTCTGAATCATGAGTCTTAATAACCAAGCATATTATTAATAGTAAAATCAAGTAAAGTGACCGTTTAAAACTTTTAATGAGAACTACTTAAAATTCTTCAAATTTGATAAATTGTCATTTTTCATTGTCTTTATTATTTTCCTCCCAATTAGAGACATCTTGAACATGTTTAATAGCTGTTTTCTGATAGAATATTTCTTTCTCACAAAAAGCCTCTGCCACAGAAATCAGTGAATAATCTGTAAGTGCTCTCAAATGATAAAAAGGGATGGAAATGGAAAAGTAATTGTATGTCTTGCACCTGCCTCCTGAAATTCATTAGCAGCTTATGGTGCTCTGAAATCCTCTTTGAGGATGTTAAAAACAATCACACAATTGTTCTGCCTCATCCTGTGTTTTATGATTCTAGCACTTAAGTAGCACAGAGAGAAGGTTTTAGATATATACCCTGTTTTCAGACATAGAATACATCTCTGCGTGCCATTAATTCTGAATTCTCACCACTTCTCAAAAGCACCTGTTTTTGCTTCAAGGGGCCATACCAACTCAAAACTAGCAAATTAAGTAATATATGAAGGAAAGAGAATTCTGAAAACTGATTGTACTTTTAAAGTAACTTCACAAGAAGAAATCTTTAATCAGAACCTCCTTCAGTGCTGTAATTTATTTAGAATAAACACTTCATTTCCTTACATAAAAATGCCAGTTACAAATTGAGAGGTTTAGGTTCACAATTAAGAGACTCTTTCCCTTTTCCACATTGCTATCCATGTCCCTAGATATTGCATGTATGGACACCATCCCTGACTCAGTGGCTCCTCTTGCTTGGTAATGTTTTGCTAGTGGCTCAGCAGTATGCTTCTCCCAGTTTCTTCCACCTGGACATCATGTGAGGTCTTCATGGCAGCATTTTGAGAGAAGAGGAATCTTGTTTCTTTAGCTTACTTCCCCCAAAGCCCTTTTAGTTACAGCTGTTTGTGAATGATAGTTTGAAGAAGAGGAAACAGACATCATTGCTACCATTTGTTGTGCATGTGCTCTGTGGTGCAATGCTATAGCATCTATGGTTTTTTACAACCACCCAGGAAAGAAAGCATATTTTAGCCTATTTTATAGTGGGCAACTGAGGCTCAGAGAGATTGTGATTGGCCAAAAACCATCTCTTTTTTTTTCCTGAGAAGTTTTGTCTCAATAAAAATGATAAAATGTTCACAACTTATGTCCTTTCAAGAATTCTAGGGACAAATATCTGAGGGGAGAGAGTAGATTATTCATTTCAAGAGTTTAAGTAAATCTGGTCACTTCATCTGGAGTTAGTTTAAACCCCAATGTCCCAGGTGCCAAGAAGGACAAAGGGCAAGTATATAATGACATTCTTTTGCCCCCAGGCATATACATTTCACCTACAAGGCAAGATTTTTTTTTTTTTTTTTTTGCCAATATCACATTCTCTTGATTTCTATAGCTTTATAGTAAGTCCTAAAATCAGGTAATGTCAGTCTTTAGATTTTGTTCCTGTTCAATAATGAGTTGGCTATTTTGGGTCGTTTAGCTTTCCATATAAACTTTAAAACCAATTTGATAATATCCACAAAATAACATGCTGTAATTTTGGTTGATATTTTGTAAAATTTACAGATCAAGTTGGAAAAGCTGACATCTTGATAATATTGAGTTTTCCTATTCATGTACAAGGAATATCTCTCTAGTTATTCATATTTTTGATTTATTTTATTAGAGTGTTTTAGTTTTTCTTACACATAGTTTGTTAGATTTATATTTAAGTCTTTCATTTATTTTTTGGTTGCTATTGTAAATGGCATTGTATTTTTTATCTCAAATTGCCACTGTTCATCCCTGGTATATAAGAAAGCAAATGGCTTTTGTATATTAACCTTATATACTGCAACCTTACTATAATCACTTATTAATTTCAGGGGCTTATTTTGCTTATTATTTGGGATTTTCTATATGGACAATCTTGTCATGTGCAAACAAAGCTAATTTTATTTCTTTATTCCCAATCTGTATATCTTTTATTCCTTTTCTTATGTTATTACTTTAGCTATCACTTCCAGTATGGTGTTTGAATAGGATTGGCAAGGGTAGATTCCTTGCCTTATTCCTGATCTTAGCAAAAAGCATATAGTGTCTAACTTTTATGTATGATGTAGGATTTTCATAGGTAGTATTTATTAGGTTAAAAGAGTTTCTTTCCATTTCTAGTTTGCTAGGAGGTTTTTGTTGTTGTTATTGTTGTTGTTTTATTATGAATGAGTGTTGGATTTTGTCAAATGCCTTTTTGGCATCTGTTGATTTGATTATGTAGTTTTTTCTTTAGCTTGTTGATATGATGAATTGCATATGAAATGATATGAAATTGTTTTTCAAATGCTGAACCAGCCTTGTACATCTGAAATTAGTTTTTATACATTGTTGAGTTTAGTTTGCTAAGATTTTGTTGAGGATTTTCAAAATCTATGCTCATGAACAATATTGCTATGTAGTTTTTCTTTTCTTCAATGTCTTTGTCTGATTTTGGTATCAGGTTAATGATAGAATGAGTTAGGAAACAGTCCTTCTTCTTCTATATTCTGGGAGAGATTATAGCATATTGGTGTAATATAATTTCTTTGTTAAATGTTTGGTAGATTTCATATCTGAGCTGGGTACTTTCTATGTTAATTATTAATTCCATTTATTTAATAAATATAAGTCTATTCAGATTATCTGTATTGTCCTGTGTAAATTCTTGTAGACTGTATATTTCAAGGAATCTATCCATTTCATCTAGATTATTATATTTGGGCATAGAATTAATCATAGTATTGTTTTGTGATCTTTTAATGTATATGGAATCAGTAGTTATGGCCCCTCTTTCACTTCTAATATTAGTAATTTGTGTCACTTCTTTTTTTTTCTTAGCCTGGCTAGAGGTTTATCAATTTTATTGATCTTTTCAAAAAACAACTCTAGTTTTGTTCATATTCCCTACTGATTTCATATTTTTAATTTCATTGATTTCTGCTCTCATTGTAATTATTTCTTTTCTCCTGCTTATGTTGAATTTAGTTTGCTCTTCTTTTTATAGCTTCCTAAAATGTAAGCTTAGATAATTGGTTTTTTATCTTCTCTAGTATGTATTCATTCAATTCTATAAATTCTCCTTTAAGCACTGTTTCCAATTCATCCCATGAATTTTGATGTTAAATTTCAATTTAGATTTAGTTTAAAATATTTTTAAATTTATGTTGAGATTTTGACATATATGCTATTTAGAAGTATGTTGATTAAGTATTTGAGAGTTTCTCAGACATCTTTTCATTATTGTTTTCTAGTTTAATTCCATTGTGGTCTGAGAAAATACTTTGTATGATTTCTGTTCTTTTAACTTTGTGGCCACAATGTGGTCTATCCTGGTGAATATTCTGTATGACTGTGAGAAAGCACAGTGAATGTGGACAGATGCATAAACATAGCTAGATGTGGTAGTGGCAAATTTGTGTGAGTTCTCTGATTTTTTTTCTTTTGCTACATTATATTATGGGGGTACAGATATTGTTAGGGTTACATATATTGCCCCTGCCACCCCTCCCCCCATACTGTGCCAAAGCTTCAAGCGTGTCCAACCCCCAAGTGGTATGCACCACACCCATTATGTAAGTATACACCCTCCCCTCCTCCGCACCACCTGCCCACCACCTGCCCACCACCTGCCCACCACCCAATAAAAGTTTTCTTTCTTTCTTTCTTTTTTTTTTTTGGCATTTTGGTTACCTTGTATATCTTTGCCTCTCCCTAAGAAGGGTTAGGGGCATTTTCCTTCACCCCCCCACAATGCTTACCACATCCCTAGGATGTGGGTCTCCTCCCCCACCCCGAATCCCTGGTGAGTACTACCACCATTTGAGCACCATAGTTTTAATCAGTCAGTACCAAGAGTTCTCTGATTTTTAAAACATTTTTATTAAACTAGAATATACATGCTATAAAGTTCAAATATCTTAAATATATGGCTCAATAAACTTTTATAAAGTGAATATACCCATGTAACCACTATCCGGATCAGAAAATAGAACATAACTAGTAATCCACTAGCAATTACATCAAGTTGACTCTACTACAATGGCTTCTTCAAATTGGTAATTGGACACAGTATTTGGGTGGGGAGTCTTACAAGAGGGTACTTGATAAGACAAACTACAGTCTTACTACTGCACTTGGTCTAAATGGTGTACTGAGTTCATGACCTCCCTCCTTTACCACACAGTCGGATTCTCTTCCCCCTCAGCCAGCACATCACCAGTCTGAGTGGCTGGCCTGATAGAATTACCTCACACTTCATCCCTCAGAGATTCTGGTGGCCAAGCTTGTCAGTCCATTATTGATGTAATTTCCCACTCACAGTTAAAACTGAGCATGGGAGGTCCATCAGATGACTCAATGAAACTCCTTGGTCCCAAAGTGGAGTCCCTGCTTCATTATGCAGTGGCAAAATTTATCCCCTCTTAATGATCAGGATCAATTACCTGTGCCAGTACAGTAATCCTTTGCTGCCTGTGATCCATTAGAATAAGAAACACTAAATTACCCAAGTTAGGGGAGGGGTTGCCACATTGACCTTTTCTATTGAAGGTACTATTTCCGGCACAGCAGTTGATACTACCTCTGAATTGAGATGGCAGTAGTCCACTCTCATCTGCTTTACGTAGGGGCAACACTGGTAAATGAAATGGGGATGTAATGAGAACCACCAACCCCGTATCATTTAAGTCTTTGATAGTTGCAATAATCTCTATCATCCCACCAAGATGCATTTTTAAAATTTGCAATCTTGGCTGGGGAGGGGGACATTCTCAGAGTTAGTCAGGAAGTCAGGAAGGCTTCCAGGAAAAACTTTGATCTTTCCCACTCTTTTTTACAGGTCAAACAATAAATGCGAGAGTTTGCTGGTTGCTAAGTATGTCCATCTTGGTTATGAATTTGGGAGCTGGGGAAATAACTGCCAGGTGAATCTCTGGATCCAGTGAGCCCACTCTAAGATAGACCTGGGCGAGTATTCTGCTTATAATCTCCCCATTGCCTCTGCCTCATTGCAATTACCGGGTCCAGTAGGCCACGGCCACTTATCATCGTCACTTTTCCGACTTTGCTGAGGCAAAGTGTGCATGTTTTTGAAATGGAAGGGAGAGTTTTATACTAAGAACTCATAATACTGCCTTGACTGGAGGTTTAGAGGTCCTAATCCCTTGGTCTTTATAATAAATCATTGATTCAAACATTGTCAGTAACCACATACAGGTATTTGATTGGTGTGAAGATTTTTTCACTTATCTCCCCCACGCCATTAGATTATAAATTCCTTGAATGAAGAGATGTCCTATGTGTTCATTGGTGATGTTTTCCCAAAGCCTGCATACTAATAATTGGTTAATAAATGTTAGCTAAAGGAACCATGCCCTTTAGAGGTTTTCTATACTATGACTGTATAACTGACTCACAATAGTTTGCCAATAATAGTAAGTGGAAGTGATTTTAAAATACACTTATGGGATCTAACATTCCATAATAGCAAGATACTAGCCCCCAAATGTGGACAAAATGTGATTGGTCATGCACCATTCAAATCACAATTGGTCTCAGACACAAAGTATAGGTTCAGTCTGTCACCACAAGCTGGCTTTTAATCTCTCTTACAAGAGCCCATTTTCCTACAGAGGAAAGGAGACAAGCCACCAACTGCACCCACATTCTATGGTCTTAAACCTCCACCACTTGACAGGAGCTGACCCAAGCTCCATCTAAGGTTCAAAAAACCCTGATGAAGGCTCTGATGTATTAGTTTCAGATAGGTGCACTAAGGCAGATCACGTAACCTCTCAAACCTCAGGTTCTGAGGGCAGGGGGTGAACTCACATCAGAAAATGGAGGCTCCTTCAAAACTGCAAATTAGAGTATGAAAAGGAAATATTTCTAGGAGGCAGGGCAATTCTGAGATGACAAAGAACAACAACAACAACAAAAACCAAGTTCATTACCTCCAGTAATTAAACAAAAAAAGTAATTGTATTATTTTCTCTTAACAAAAATCAAATAGCTCAAATGTGAAAAGTCAGCACCCTTTGGATGCTATATTATTCCACCCTCACTTCCTTGCAAATTGTGTGTTTTCACAAACTTTTTTTAATAAAGGAATCAAAATACTTCTTTTTTATATTTTTGGGCAGCACAGTCCCAGTCCCTGGCTCACTGACAATCCAAGGCAGTTGTCTCCTCATACACTCAGTCTTTCCAGTAGTTACAGCTTTTTGACAGCAGGATCAGGGTGAGATAAATAGATTTCAACATTTTTGTTAAAAATAAAAAGCCCCACAAACCTGGCCCATATTTTCCAACTGGCAGGAATATAAATAGCTGATGCACTTTACTATGCATAAAGCCAAACAAAGGCCAACAAAATGTTTTCTAAAGGTGATTAGAATGTGTGTGTTTACGGGAACAAGATGTGGCCACCCTCTGGCTTAGGGTCCATCTGATTTGGTCTGTTTATAAATAGAATTCCAAAGTGAACAAACCCACTTCCTGTTAGTCTCTCTCAATCTCCTTTTTTCTCCCTAAAGTATGGATCTGATATCTTGCACTGTTTGGAAGAAGAAAATGCTGTTTGTCATTTATCAAAATCTAAACAGCTGCAACCTAACAATGTTAGTTTAGTTTTAATATTAAGTAAATAAATGTGAGCAGTGATCATATTATACAAACATGTGGACCTGGGGTTTAAATTTAATAAATTTTACTTCTAATTCAGTTTCACAAGGTTTCATATTTACTTAAACTCCCTCATGTTTTCCAACTTTGCTAGATTAGTATGCACAACATATTCAGTAGATACAGCCTCTTAAATCTCTCCCAGTCCATAGTGCTAAGACTGAATTTGAAGATTTTTTTTTCTCTTAAAAGTTAAAAATAACTTACTTTGAATGTAAGAGTGAGTTATTTGAAAAGGTACTGGCTTGAAATCATGGCACCATTAAAGGCATCCTTATACTTTCCCGATCAGGTGTAAAATGAACAGGAAAAACATGTGCATGTCTCCGTAATTCCACCCATGTGACTCATCCTTAACCCACAGTAATTATGTATTTAAGACTTGCTTCACTCATTAGACAGTCATTTCAATGCACTTGCATTTTGGATCAAATTCTGGGTCATTTTGGTGTTTCAAATATTCGATGTTATAAAAGCCATTTATACCTAAAGATGGTGATCAAGGCCATCTGCCAACAATATTCATTATGTACCTGTGTGTGCCATTTCCAATTTACATTCTTTAAAAAGCAAAGGTGGTCTGCCTTTGGACACTTGAAGAGTATTTGCAGTAAATTACATGGTGAAACAGCTTGAATTAAGTAATGGTCTTTTAAGAACCAAGCTAATATTCAACTCCATTGAAAAGCTAATTTGGAAACTAAAGTTCTATTTTTTTGTTGTTGTTGAAACATATGTAAATATAGAACCAATTTGGAGAGCCCCCTATGCTTACAAAAATATGCTCTGAATAAATACATTCGTCTTTCCCTGTTAAGAGTATTTTAAGCATAGGGTTTTCTGGGATTGACTAGGACCACTGTGTAGTAACTATTGAGTCATTATTAATTTTCTATTAATTCCCTAGGAAACTCTCAACTTGCAGCTTATCTAGCCTTATTTAGTTTTCTCAAGGCTCAATTCTGTCATTATACCTCTATTTTCAGCAGGCCAGAAAGAAGTAAAATGTCTTATTTTAGCTTCTAAGTTGCTAGGCCATGAGAAGCTATCTGAAGACATGATATAGATAACTGTCCATTACCCAGAGATAGTGAAAGGAAAGGAGGACATGCAACCAATTGCAAGCTGGATGCATTAATTGCAAGACACCTTGGAGTCACTGCCCTTGCAAAGCACAGGTTTGGAAGTACTTCTGATTGTAGTCATGATGGAATAATAGGCTTACCTTTCCACCTTAAATAACTGGAAAACTGGAGCAGTTTTCAAACATTGGGCAATAGGTAGCACAGTACAATGTTACCTAGAAGAAGGAAAACAAAGAAAGTAAACCCTATGAGTACTCCATCTCACAACACTGAGAACATTTTCAGCCTGCAGAGCAGAATAAGGGATATATTTAGAGCCTGATATTTTCCTAGAGTTGGGGAGACAGACTTTGGAATTCAAGAAGGTGGTTAGAGTTTTCAGGGCAAAGTACCAGAGAGGAGAGAGTGGTACAGAGAAAGCATGAGAAATCTGCAGAGATCAACCATGGAAAAATCTCAAGTCTTTGCCTAAGTACTGACTTGTGTATGAATGTGAGAAAGCTACAAAGGCAAGGAGAAGATAAGCAGAAATAAGTAGGTAGAATAATCCCTGCAGCTTATACGAAACTAAGAATTTTTATTTTTCAAACACCCAGAGACTAAAGACTTCCTTACACACAGGATATTGAGTATTATCCTCAGAAAGGTATTGTCTCAGTAGTGGGAGATAATTAACCTCAGAATAAAAGGTGTTCTGGATTCACCCTAACAAAGCTCAAAACTAAGAATTGAACTGATTCCAAGTAAGTTAACTTCATCTCAGAACAAAACCCCAAAATATTTAATAGAAATACAAAAATATTAAAAGAGAGAAAATATAATATCTAACAGTATAAAATTGCTGTGACTTTCATCTAAACAAAATTACCAGACATAAAAGAAGCAAGAAAATACAAACCACATCCAGGAGAAAGTAAGTCAATATAAACAGATACAGACATGACACAGATAATAAAATTAGTATATAAGGACATTAAAACAGTTATTATAAATATACTTCATATGTTCAGGAATGTAAAAGAGAGTATGAGCATAACGGGGAGAGATATGTTACATATAACAAAGATTCAAATCCAACTTTGAGAGATGGACAATGCACTATATGACATTAAAAATTCACTGAATTTGATTAACAATAGATCTGATTTTTCAGAAGAAAGATTACTAATGTGAAGAAATAACAATGGAACTACCCACAATGTATTATATATAGAGAAAAAAAGTGAAAAATAGTAAAGAGAATATCAGTGCACTGTGAGCTATAAAACAACATCATGACCTCCCCATAAAGAGAGGAGAAAGGTGGAAAGGCAGGAAAAAAATTGAAAGTATAATGACTGAAAATTTTTTAATTTAATGTAAATTGTAGACCCACAAATCCAAAAAGAGCAATAAATTGCAAAAAGAAGGAACATTAAGAAAACCATATCTAGTCCCATAATAATCAATTGTGGAAAAACAATGATTAAAAGGAAATCTTAAAAGCAACTAGAAAAAAATAAGGCACACTACAGAACAAAAATAAGAACAATAGAAGACTTATAGTCAGAAACAGTGCAGAATGAAAGGCAGTTGAGCCACACCTCTTAAGTACCCAAAGAAAGGGAAAAAAAGCTTGTCAACCAAAAATTCTATATTCAGTAAAAATACCTTTTAAAAATGAGGACAAAATATAGACTGTTGACCATGTGCAAAAGCAGAGAGAACTCATTACCAGAAGAGAGGAACAACAATGCATATAATTATATGAATGATGCCACTCTGACGTGTATAGGTCTGATGTCCATGCAAGGTTATCAGAGGCATTATCTATGAAGCCTTAAGATCCAGAAGTGTCGTTACTACAAAACCTCTGATTAACACCGAAGTGTTGTGAAAGGCAGTCCCATGAGTTGGCTAACATTTCTTTAAAGCAACTGACTGCTTCTAAGCTTAGCCATACAAGAGATTTTGGTTGAACTGAAAATATAAGTATTTCATTACTGTGTGCAGCTCTGTGATGGACAGGCAGGTTGTTGGCACGCCCAACGCAAACAATTACTTCTCCATCACTGGCACAAGCTGTATGTCATAACTTTGTTTTTTTCAGAATAGGGGATGATTAAACTGTATCCATTCACTTTTACTGATGCAGTAAGTCCAGGCATCACTTAGTGGCTGTCCATCAGTGGTAAATCCTCTGAAGAAAAGAAAATGATCTGAAGAAACTGGTGTTAGTGAGTGTCAAGATCGGCCAACTGGGCATATGCCTTGTGGAATTAATTCATTCCACTTCCATGTATCCAGATTAAGATAGTGAAGATCATTCATTCAAGCATCTCAATATCTGCCTCCAAACACAAAGACTTTGTTTCCAACAGCTGCACAGGCATGGGCAGCACAGGTGGAAGGTGCTTTACCAGGAGTCCTAGGCTGGAGTTTGCTCTTTTTGTTGCGTACTAGAAAGTCATCATCCTCCCAATCTCCCTGACTACAGCATCCTGATTTACTCGTATATTATGCAATTTTGCTTGATTTAACAGACATTGGCCTCTCTGCAAGGCCCAGAGGATAAAGAACGATCCACCTCTGTGAGTAATTTCAATAATCCTGTGTCCCCATTTCATATACTCATTTCCCAGCCTCATTTAAGGGGTGTTCTGTGAGAAATTTAAATTAGAAGTAAAGGAAATCTTCTAGATGGGTGGGGCAGGGTTCTGGGGAAGATAATCTTATAGTATAAAAAGGAGAATTTTGAAAGTCTTACAAAGTGAAAGACTCTTTTGGCCTGAGCCTTCTTTTCTGTGGTAAGGCAGCATGAGTATGTGACATCTGCTACAATAAAAACTACCAACATGTGACCATGAGGCAATAGCTTGGGGACAAAAAATATATATATATAGTAAAAATCACTCTAACAATCACAAAACAGAAAGATAGAGCCTAATCTTTAATATATTTTTGAGCTGCCATACCAATCTTGAAACCCCTTAATTCTGGATTATGTATTAAGTACATAGAAAATATATTTATGTTTTAAGACACAGGTCATCAAATTTCTGTTTCTCATGGCCAAATAAAAATTATGATCTTGTGACTTTTTTCTTAATTAGGAAAAGTCATTTAACATAAATTCCCTCACCTACCCTCCTCTCTGTCTCTATCTCTGTGCTTTAGTATACAGCTATGCCTCTAGTCTTAGAGGAAATATACCTCCCTTTTTTACCAATGCAAAGAATTTCCATTGGGGCTCTGTGTCTCTCTTTTCTTTCCTGTTTCTGTTAGGAACTTGTATAATCGAGCATTTTCAACTACTGTACTATCCTTCCATTGCTTTTATTATTGTTTCCTTTTTGCTTAGTTCAGTTGACTTCTCACTGGATAAAATTTGTCTCCTTTTCTCTTTGACACTTCAAATTAGTGGTCTATGCTTGTTGTTTTATACTTGTACTCACCAACTTTTTCCTCCTCTACCTAGCAATATCCTATTTCTTCCCTTTATTCAAATTCCTCATAAAAACCTCCAAATACTTCCTTGTTATCTTTAATTTTTACTTCTATACTCATTCTTCTTGATCTCTATAATATATAGTTTTTCATCTAAAAACTTTTCAACATTGACTTTCAGGATGTTATAATATTCTGAATCTTCTCCCATGTTTCTAATTGTTTTTCACTGTTACCAAGAATATAACATTTTCCTATTCTCTGCATATGGCCATTCTTCCAAATGCAATTCTTGGCATTCTGCTACTTTCTTTCTTCTTTCCTCTAACAATTTCATCCCTCATGGTTGTAATCATTATACAAATGCAGTTAATTCCTTAGGTCTATATCTCTAACCTTGATCTCTCTTAAATTCTCATTGTTGTAGCCTCAATTGCATTCTGGACAATTTTTAATCTAGTTGACATCAACTCATCCTCATGCCCAAACCAGCTTCCATTCATTATTTTTCTACATCTATCAAAGGTACTAATATTTTCATCAACTTTGACATTTTAAATTTTACTTTCAACTATTCTTTCTCTACCTTTTATATAAAAGTATTCATACATTATGATCAGATCATGTTTTTAACAATCCCATCGTGTTTTAGATCTTTATCATCTTTCACTTATAATAATTCAATAACTTTGGTTCTCCTACTTTCAAACTCCTCTCTTTCCAAAGTATTTACAACTATGCTACCACCAGAAGCATATTTCTAAAGCATTCTTCACACCAGATTAGACTTAAAATTGTTTTCCATTACCCACTGGATTTCTGAATCCAAAAGCACCTTTTAAGGAGTTAAAATCTACCTGGGACAACAGGAAGCCTTTGAAACCCTACAATAGCAGAAGCCTGAGATTATTAAATATTTTGTATACAACACCTGCAGGCACCCAATAGACAGCTGCAATTAATTACAGGTTTGGTTAAACTATTAGCCATGGGTTGTAAGGGTGGAGCTTGATTTTCTCAACTTGTGTAGTTATACAAGAAACAGGGTTCCTTAATTCCTTGCAAGTATGTCATCAGCCATCTTTGCAGTGATAAACCTTCAAGTAACTTCCTTCCTATTCAGTACTATAACTAAATTAAGCTTATCATACTTGACCCACATTAGTGTTTCAAAGCCTATGTTCAAGCAAAATTAATATTTTACCACTTTCAATTCTGTGTTTTGATCCCCTATATTTTTCTATGCACAAATGTGAAATCTGATTTTTTCTTCATTTTGTCTTGAGTTGCCATGATGTGTTCTCCACAGACCAGACAGGCTGTTAAAAATTAATAAAGAACACTTCTAATTTCCATATATTGGGCTTAATTAACAAAATATTAACCCAAGACTTTTAGTTTAATTATGTCAGCAGTATTCCAAAATGCTGAGAAATATGCCAATGTGTCTAACATGCAAATGTATGCAAAGCATGTTTTTTCCACTTTGGACCACCTAGGTCCCAGCCTCTGACTAGTTAAAATCAAAGAGACAAATGTATTGTGTTCCTTTGTCAAGGATGGAGAGGATTATTCCAAGGTTTTCTAAATTTATTATCAAGAAAATGTTCACAGCCCCTCACCCTGGGGTTTACCCCAATTTTACTGACTTTGTTTATATTTCCCAAACCATTCTTTTGCATTTTATAAATAGTAACACAATTTTATTTCTAGTTTTCCAGGTTGGAAGTTAGTTTATAGGGAATGGTAACATATTTTACTTTAAGGACAGGCAATGTAGAATAATGGG